CCCCAAAACCCCAAAACCCCAAAACCCCAAAACCCCTCTTAAATGAGAATATTTTGAAATAATCATTAAAAATGTCCAAGCTAGTTATCTTTATCTTAACTGTGCTATTAACACTACTGATAGTAAGCACAAAAGCGACTAAATCAACAAGCTCTCAACTCAAAAGTAAGATCTACTTAATTACGGCGATCTCTAACAAAGAAATTTGTGGATATGTTCTGCTTAACCATTATATTCGACCCGACAGATTATTGGACAAGCATAAGAGATTCATATAAATTATGACTCTTAGCAGTTAAAAATGGTATACTTCAATTTTTAACTTAGCCATCTCTTTAATTGACTAAAACATTGGAGTTTTCTTTTTACTTCCTAAAAGGGCTATTATTTAGCTTAAATGACAATATCTTTTTTAATATGGAAGCCAAATAGCAGAATAAAATATTTGTGAGGACACCCATTGTTGTTTCAAAAACAAGAGAGTGTTTTTAATTGATATACTGTTCAAAAACAAAGCAGATCTAAAACTGTAAATAGTTAAAAATTGGCCTCTGATTCGATCATATCAATAGTTATTAGAGAAAGGGCTTGGGTACTTGTCCAGTTAGAGCACCTCAAATAAAGATAGACTTATTCTTAATGTCTTAGTTAAATTAGCTACCATTTATTAATTTAACTAAAAGTATTTCTGAGGGGATTGGGGTTTAACTAACTATATTTTAAACTGCTCCAAGAAGACATAATTTCCTTGCTCATATATCTTAAAATACTTGATTTCGAAAGTTATAGTTACTCAAGTAGTGACACTTCAAACTCAGACTTTAAAGACTAATAATGAGTTAACCTAACAAGTCAGCTCTAATTGGTTTAATATTTTATATTCTTATAAGCTAGATTCCATTAATTAACACTTTTATTGACATTCAGTTTCTTGTATGTGTCAAGAAGCAGAATTTAAAAATACAAATAAGGATAACATATCGCTGGTTATCCATTGATTGACTACCGTAAAGAATGTCGATAGGTTTTATACATCTTTTAGATTTTTCAAGAGCCCAGCTTAGTAGCAAGGATGCAGACTCTATAAACCAACACATCCAGCTAGCTAAAACTTATATACAAGCCTTGCAAGAATATAATGGTCAAGTGAAGAGTTACCAATGGAGGTGGGTCTGGAGTTACCAATTCATGGGGATTGCTATGTCTTCTAAGTGGGATCTTGTCTTTGATGTAGGGTGGAAAGTCAATTTCAACGAGACCGGAGGAGATTTCTTTCATATAAACTACGAACCTTTTGTCGATTTGCATACCTACATGTGGAATGATTTAGCTCTCTGGCTTGCTGAATTTTATTATGATCCTATTGCTCAGATCCTCTTTGGATCAATGCAATTAGATTTTACTCTTGATAGAAATGGCAAGGCATGTTTAAATGCCACATACGATCTTGAGCCAGTTTATTACCATGGCTATCTTGGATCAACTCTGAAAGAGTGCCATACTGAAATTCTAAGTGAAGTAGCACAACAAACTCCTATACATCTAGAGTGTAACATGACAGACCATGTATACATAAGGTTTCACAACCTTGAGTTCACTCCAAGATTAGTTGATACATTCCTGGATATTTGTATAGATTTTTAAGAATGTTCATCCCACTCTCTGGTCTTTTAACTTTTGTTAAAATATGAGTATTTTCTATTTTAGCTGAATATTCAAAGAAGCACTTTCCATTGTTAATAATGTAACGTAGAATATTCTATTTGGAATATTATATCCGGGGTTTTGGGGTTTTGGGGTTTTGGGGTTTTGGGG